AATTACCGAACTGGCAGAAAAATGCGACTTTCTTCAATTTCATTATTTTGACGAACGCTTGAATTCATCCAATTTTTTTGGTCTAGTGGTCTGATACTTGGATTTTAAACTGTAGGGTCGAGTGTTCGAATCCCGTCAAGAACCCGAGGTGTCCTTAAGAAAGGCACTTTATCCGAAATTTCCTCACTTAACACCAGGTGGGATTGAGTAAACAGCTACAGACATCGTAAGATCTTCTCAGTTTGTTAGTGTTAGAGCGCATTGTAATCGAGCATTCAGGTCCTTTGATAAAACCCGAATAAGCTCTATTTGTGAGCACTTAAAATAAATAAAAAGAAGCACAATTTCCTTGGTTATAAATATTATTTTCTGCTCTGTTTTGTCAATCTGAAACTTTAAAAAGTCAAGAAACAAAGTTGGGGTTCTGAAATATATCCAAATTTATGTTCTTAGTTAATTATTTACGGTGGTTCAAAATTGACTACCTTAAAAATACAACGTTCTGTCTGCCAAGTAACTAGTTTTGAGAAATTTGATGATAAAAACTTTAGGTTTCAAAACATGTCATGCTTTTTAAATGCAATTCTTTGAATATCTTGGTAACAAATCCGAATCAGCTTACGATTTTGACAGAGCAAGTGAAACATTTGGATTCTGACCTCAAGGTCTTAGACACTCAAAACAGTCAGAAGTGTCAGATAGAGGTTTGTAATTCTGTGGTAGCGAATTGATAGCATTTTCTTGTCCTTGATCTCCTTCTGATCTAATTATATAATGATGGGTGTAATCGTGGAAGAATCTGGAGCTCTTCCAGAAAAGAAAAAAGAAAATCGAAGAAACCAACATGCCTGTGTACAAATTGTTAGTCAGAAGACAATGTCCTGCTGTATACTTGTTGCTGTTGTGTTTGAAGAGCGCGGTATGAGAAACGTGCACAAGGTAAGAACGGGACCATAGTCCAGTACATTTATTTCTTTATACCATAAAATCAGAAGCCAGCAACGTTTCATAATGCTGAAATAATAATGATAATCATAATAATAATGATGAGGATGATGATGATGATGAGGATGATGGTGATGAGGATGATGAAGAAGAAGAAGAAGAAGAAGAAGAAGGAGAAGAAGAA